CACACACACACACACACACACACACACACACACACACACACACTTAAGGCCTTTACTGCTGATGTTTCCTGGGGCAGAAACACCCTTCCAGCCACTCTTCAGGGCCACAGTGTGTACAGTCTCTCTCAAGACTATCCACCCACCTGTCTCCACCAGGCCCTGGTTGTCCCTTCATAACACTCATAAAATTTGATAATTACTTTATGAGCTGGCTGCCTTCCCTAGAGAAAGCCCTGGCAGAGGACACCTGGAGCTCGTCCCTCAGTCTCCCCCTGCAGACACTGGTACACAGAGGAAGGAGCCATTGAAGGGCTCATGAAGAAAGAACGCATGAAGGGATGGACAGGAAGTCTTTCTTTGTCCAGCCCTCCCTCACAGTTGTCCCAAGACATGGACCACAGCAGGGATTCTTGACTTGGGTTTTCTCAGCCTCCACCTTCCTGCCTCCGGAACAGGAAAGTGAGCAGAGCCCAGTGTCAGACATACTGAGACACATGCTGAATCTGGTTCCTCCCAATCTAAACAACCCACTTCACACCTTCATCCTCATTTGCAGGACCCAAGCGCCCAGGAAAAGAAGCTACCTGCTCACACACCAGGTCTCCCGCTCACTCCACATCCCGAGAGGGAAAGAAATCAAGGGTCTCAAAAAGCATGTGACCTAGCCAGCCAATCAGAGCATCGTTTTCATTTGAGCATGGTGATTGGTTCAGAGGAGAACACATGACGACCCAAAGCTGGACCAATATGCCCATTTCCTGGAAATTTAAGAGTAAGGCATCCTCTTTGGCGCTGAGTGTGGAGTGTAAAGCCGAAGTTTCCATCTTTGCATTGGGGAAGAGCTGGTTTAAGAATAGAGCCCAATGGAGTGAGATGGGGAGAAAGGCAGATTCCCCATCAGTTTCTGGATCATCTGTGTCTGAAGCTGATCACATGAGCCCGCATACGTCCTTTGTCCTTAAGCCAGCTTGTCCTGGGTGTCCATCTGTCACTTGCAATCCCATACATCCTGCCTGATGCCCTCTGTGCCTCCATATTCTGTGGCACTCTGGGCACACAGTCTCTACAGAAAGTGTCCCAGACTTTCCCACATCTCTTTGTCTTGACAACCAGAGCTGTGGGTTCACTTACGCCCCAGATTGAACATGGAAGGAGCCCACTTCAGTGCCGTCCCATCCCATGGCCTGCAGAGAGGGATAGTCATCGCTCAGTTCGCCTTTCCTGCCGAGGAAGTTCTCCTGCTCGAAGATAGTCAGCCTTGAGTCACGGTGGTTCTACAGACAATGAAGAACTGGGTCAGACCACAGAGTAGACACACAGGAGTCACTGTCCCTTTCTCAGCCTCTGTCTCCCAAGTCAGCATTCCATGCAGAGCTCTGAGAAGTTCAACAGGAAGCCTTACTTCAGCCTCTATCCTTCCAAAGGAGCAAGGACAGAACAAATAACTATAAGGGAGTCCACCATAACTGTAAAAAAATTAAAGGAACTGATATCAATGTCCCATAGCAGAAGACCAGGCAGGAAGATAGGATGTTGTGCTATGGAAACTGTGTGAATTTCCGCCCTTTGCCAGATGGCTGCGCTCAGGTACATCACACAGTAATTCTGAGGCTCCACTTTCCCATGGCAGTAACACAGAGCCAATCATATCTCCCTTTCTTCTTTGGAATGGGAGAGCCATTCCTTTCTCTATCCATGCTCCATCAATAACAATAATGCACAATAGAGAGGTGTAATGATAACTCTTTCTACCACCACGTTAAGGTCCCCAAATAATACATAGAGATTAATATTAGTTACAATGCTGCTGGCCAATGACTAGGATTTATTTGCTAGCTCTGTCTTAAGTATTAACCATAGCCATTAATCTATATATTTTATAAAGACATCTTATAGAGGACACCAGCAGCATGAGTCCTCTCTTCCCGGGATCGCATGGTGACGCTCCCCTTTCCTACATTTCCCAGAATTCTCCTTCTCTCCTAGTCTTGCCTAACTTGCTTCCCTATTGGCCAACAGTGCTTCATTTATCAACCAATAAGACAAACATATACACAGAAGGACTTCCCCCATCAGAGAGGAGATGATGAGTTGGGGACAACACATAGGACCCATCTGCCCAGCCAGCTTTGCCTTCCCTGGCATCCAGCTTTCCCAGGGACCCTGAACCATGAAAAGATGGAAATACCACACAAAAGGGCTCCCACCATAGCCAAAATTGCTACAGGCTGAGATTTCATGTTGGGGTACAGCCACAGGATGTGTACTATCACTTTATGTCAAATTACAGAGACTGAAGGTCACGGAAGAGAAAGATCACCCATATCACTATCTTGATGACAGATGACAACTTGAGCTTAGAGATCTGATTCCCAAGTGTCCATGAGCAGGGCTCTGATCACCTGGGGTACAGACAGTAGGACTCACAGCGCAGGCCACAGGCCGGAAGGATGTAAGCCTCTCAGCGGGGTAGGCTGTGTTGCCACTCCAGGCATCCCAGGCTGGGTACTCGCCCCTCTCCAGCACATATTGTTGTCCTTGGAAGCCAGCATGCTCAAAGCCCACCCACCTGCAAACAGACAGGGCAAGAAAGAAGAGCCACCAGCCTGAAAACTAGGTCGGGGCTCTGGGGTGGGGGTGGGGGACAACCTCTAAGGCCACTTAACAATAACTGGGTAGTTATGACTTTACAACTTGGGAGGGGATACAATGGTCATTGAGTAAGTGGAAGCCAACACTGGGACAGCACCCAGGTCACCGTACCCAAGAGCAGCCATGCCTAGACCTTGCTAAAGCCAAGTGTGGGAAACCCTGCCTAAGCCCCAATTAGGAAAGTCTGCCTAGGGCCAGCATCACACTGGCTTCCTGTATCCAACAAGGAAGGGACTGCCTAGGCAGATGCTCTGAGGCCCTCACACATTCATGGCCATAAAGGTCACATCATGTAGACAAGGTTCAGTCATGGGCTGACCTCAGTTTCATTGTCTCCTCGTGATCCTGTCCCTCTTAGATGAAATCTGAAAGCTAGCATCACTTACACCCAGACCCTCAAGACTAGCATCCTGCTGCCACCCTTCCTACAAGATCTAGGGGCACCCACAGACAAAGCCTTGGCTCTGAGTCATACAGAGAAAGGACCTCCTTTTGGTCCTTCCTCCTAATTTTCTGGCATCTCCTACCCAAAGGAATAAGTATCAGCCACACACAGCTAATTACATTTGATCTCAAGATAAAGTAAAAATTAAAATTCATCAGGTCTTAAGTCACAGAATGCACATTTGAAATTCTTTCTCAACGGCCACGTGTGGCCAGTGACTCTCAAGTGGATTAATTAGATTTATAAATCTTCCCATGCTAGTCTTGAGGGTCTGGGTGTAAGTGATGCTAGCTTTCGGTATTCATCTAAGAGGGACATCTTCAGACCTCATCTAATGGGCAGGGACTGTGTGTAACGGTGTCCCTTACAGGTGAGATGTGTACAACCTGGGTGATGTGACTCAGCAACACTGCATTCTCTTTTGCACATGAGAGGAACACACAGGTACAGTAAAGCCTAGAAGGACAAGTCTGGGAACATGCGTGGGTCCCAGCATCCCTCTCTAACTCCCTTCCTGCCCCTCCCCCGCCCCCCCCATCCTGACTCTATATCCTCCAGACTCACGCTCCACTCAGGACTTTCAAAGATCTCACGGTCTCAAAGCCAAGCTCCAGCACACTGGGGCACTCAGCTGTGAATTCATGCCGACGGCCCTGGAAGCCTTCTTCATCCCACACCACCATCTACACAGGAAAGAAGGAAGATGATGTGTGGACATTGGTGATCAGTGATCAGTGAGGGGGTCTCACCCTGGATTCAGGGTGGAGCCGAACAGGTGAACCAAGGTCACATGCTCCAGGGCCTCCAGGGCCAGGTGGGTGATCAGGGTGAACAATGGGGTCCTGGATAGCACAGGCCCATAGTATTACCCCACACTGATGTCACATGGGAATGCAGCTAGAGCTTCTGCTTCTCAAGACCTTCACGGAAGACCTTTATGTGGCTTCTCCAAGCTATTTGTTTTGAGAGAAGATCTCACAAGGTCCAGGCTGGCCTTGAGCTCACAAGCTTCTGGCCTTGCCTGCTCAGTGCTAGGGTTACAGGTTTGTGCCATCACACCCAGCTTTTAGTTTCTCTTCCCAAAGCCAAGCATGGTCAAAGGAATACATCAGGAAGATTGTGTGAAGCGGCTCAGTGGTGGGGACCAGAAGAACCCAAGTTCAAGCTCAGGTTGTGTGACTCCCTGGTCTGAACCTTGAGTGCATGATGGTCGGTACCCTTCCCCTGTGAAGCTTCGGCTAGGGGATCTTAGCTGGCTTCCTCCCTCCCAGGACACCTGCTCCATGGGTCGCTCCCTACCCTCCAGTGTCCGGCTGACTTGGTGCACTGCAGTGTCATATTGGCCGGGTCCTACAGAGAGAACACAGTCAGTCACCTTCCATCCTGATTATCGGCCGCATCATTGACTGAAGCAGGGGCAGAATCCAGATGGGTCTGGGTGTTCCTGGACTGGGTGACCCTTCTCCCATCCTGCCCACCTGTAAACGACATCTCCTCAACCACATCTGGGTGTCATCACCTCCAGCCCCAGCTCACAGTGGGGCTGTTGTGGCTATGTGGGTGGAATGAGGTGATGCATCACTCCCCACCACACAAAACACGTGCAGTGCTAGCCTGATGCATGGCCCTAATAGTGGACACACAGGCCACAGAATGATGGTGGGGGGACCTTGGCATTTAAATAAGAGTCACAGACAGCACTCTGGACTCTCAGAGACTACTGGGTTATGATGGCATTCGTGGTGACCAGTGACACATCCCAAAAAAGATGCCACCACCAGAGAGCTCAGTTCCACTCCTGCCTCTCACCCAGACTTACCAAATAGGGCCCAGAGCACATGTCAGAACTAGGACCAGACAAGGCCAGGCTCTTATAGGCAGGAAAGGGGCAGGGGCCCCAAGGGACAAACACAGACTCAGCAAGCCAGTGGTAGAAACAAAAGCCAGTCCTGGCCAAGGCCCAGGGTGGACATGTCAGCAGCTCTGGCTTTAGCTGGGAGGGAACAGAGGCTTGCCCTAGGGTCAGCACTAGAGAAGATGAGAGGCGGGTAGTCCACCTCCCTGAGTTCCACAGGATTCCTGACTAGTACCAGTGAAACACTAGACTTGGGGCCCAGCATTACCTTGATGGTGGTGGGTGACTTTCTGTCTGTCTGCATGGTAGGACAGACATAAGCCCGACCTCAGGCCTGCTGTGCCTGCTTTCCTTCACCACTTCACATGCCCCTGCCTCTTCCCACTGGCATCAGGCTCTGGCTTGAGACCACTTATTTAAAGGGTGGAGGCAATTTCTACAGTGGCTTGGAAGGAGGGACATTCTAAGAAAAACCCCAGGGGCAAAGGGCAAAGGCTTTGGATAGCAAATACAGAGGAGACAGAACACATATCTTCAGAGGGGAAATTAAGAATGATGGTCAGGGCCAGAGCCAGTGCAGTCTGCAAGATCTGGGGAAGCATCTGTGGCTGTGCATGCAGAAGCAAGGGACCGCAGCTTGCAAACATGCTTCACGAAGCTAAGTATGGTAGACAAACACCGAAGGCATGGAACCCCCTGAACCCCACCTCTGGGGCATCCTGAGAAAGGCCTGTCAGAGAAGTGGGTAGCACAGCAGGAACTGCTTGTGGTAAAACTCACCCCTGCTGCTGGGTGAGGTGACCCAGATAAAAACTGAGTCCCCTGATGGCCAGGAAGTAGTAACATTTCTTCCTTCCTGCAATGGCAAAAGATCTGTCACATAGGCAGGACTTGGCGAAGGGTGAATGAGATGCAGCCACCACAGGCAGCAGCCTGGTTCTTCACTCCACATCTGTGAGAAGGCTCCTAATGCCTCTGAGCCTCAGTTACATTGTGTATTAAATGGAAATAAAAAGACAAAGTGGGCCGGGTGGTGGTAACCCATACCTTTAATCCCAGAACTCGGGAGGCAAAGACAATCAGATCTCTGTGGGTTCAAGGCCAGCTTGGTCTACTGAGCGAGTTCCAAGACAGAGAGAAACTCTGTCTCAAAAACAAAAATACAAGTGGGGGCTGGTGGCTGGTGAGATGGTTCAAAGGGGTACCTACCACCAAGCCTGACAACTTGACTTCAATCCTGAAGACCCCATGATGGAAGGGAGAGAACTGACTCCTTCGAGCTGTCTCTGAATTGCATGTGAGCATGCATGAATACACACACACACACACACACACACACACACACACACACACACACACAAATGTAATAAAAAATTAATGTTAATGGTTAGCCTGAAAGCACAGGATACTGAGAGCTGCCTGGGTGCCTTGGCCACTTTTGCCATCCTTGCTAACAGTAGAAGCACTTATCATTATGAATGGCATTTCCCCCAAAGCAAGGGCTCATAGTGGCTAAGAGTCTGGACTCAGGAGGTTAGATGGAACTGAGCCCACAGCCCTGCATGGTGGTGCACCCTTGCCACGCCCAGGATGTGGGATGTGGAGGCAGGAAAGCCAGCCTCGGCTACATAGAGAGCTTGAGGTCAGCCTGGGTTACATGAGACCCTGTCTCAATACACTAATAAGAAATAAAGGATGACATGAGTGCCAATTCCGCATGACAGATGGGAAAGAGGGCTGGAAGGGGACAAAGGAGCCACCCACTTTCTTGTCTATAAATGGTTCATACAAAGGCTGGCTGCAGAGAGTCACAAAGTGCTCAGAGAAGAGCTGGCCAGCAAGGAAGGCTGTTCCCATGTCCCAGAGCCTTTGGCAGACTGCCCATTGTCAGGACGGTAGGGGGATAAAACTACCCCAGATGCCTGCCCTTAAAACCCAGACCTGTGGGTGGCCCCTACCACAGGCATCTTGGCCTGAGTCCCAGTGGCTGCCCCATCCTGTGGTTCTCAACTCAGCTCTTCAAGGACTTGGCCCAGGATGAAAGGCAAATAGGAGGCTAGTAGGGAGAGGGGCTCATGGGCCAGAGTAACCACAAGGCTCCATGGGGGTCATGGACTTCCCAAAGAAAAAGGGTTTCTCAGAAGAGGGATGTACCCCACTGCAGCTGAAGACATGCCCCAGTTCACTTTGAGTTCACACTGTGGACAAGGTTGAAACCTGTCCTTTGTGGGTTTTGGTTTTTCCATTTGGGGAAATGGTGGACCTTCTGCCTTCCACCTGTTGGAGTTCACCAGTCTACCAGGACACATGGCTGCCCTGCTTCCTACTTTGTCCCGGGCTCCCTCCAGCTCTCCCCTCTATCTCTTGTCTCCTCCACCTCCCTTTCTGCCTATCACTCTTCACCCTTTGAACTCTGTCCTCACCTTGGACATCCATTACCTCTGTCTCCCCACCCTCTTCAGTGAACACTGGAGCCCCCTGATCCCCCCATTTTATCCTGGTACTGTCAGGGACCTGCAAGGACCCACCCAGGCCATGCACGAAGCACTAGCTGGCCCCTTGACTAGCCAGGTGCAGTGGGATGTGAAGATGCTCAGAGACTCCATGTCCCTGCCCCTGGGGTCAGTCCCTGGGGGATGATGGGCAGTTAGGAAGGACCCAGGCCTTGAATGCCAAGCACATGAGCCTGAGACCCAGACCTACCCCCATCACAGGATGTCCGGCAAACCTCAGTCAGGGCCAAGGTCAAATGCCTGCCTGCTTGACCTGGCCAGTACTGGCCTCTGTACCCAGCCTTCTGCATCTGAGAAATGGGTACAGTGCGAGCCAGGGAGGAGCAGATGTGCATCAGAGCCAATCACAACCCCAGAGGCTGCAAACCCTCAGGAATGAGTCTGTGCACTGAGAGCCCTTCTGTCTTTACGGAATATGTCTTGTTCAATGTTGTCTTCAGTTCTGTGTATCATTCCACAGGGAGAGATGTCATCTGTACCTTTAGACACACACACACACACATACACAGAGGTAGACACTTCTGAAGCCATGCTGTGTCTGAATTCTAATTCAGGTCGCCTCCTCTCTGGTGCCCCTTCCCTACCCTAGGCTGGCAGCCAGCAGGGCCCTGGGCCTGTCTCCAGCCAGGGTAATGGACACTGGAGTCAGAATAGGGTTGGGGCCAGGGTTTCTCTGTGTTCCAGGCCCACAATGGAAAGTGCTAGCCTGTGCAGTACTGGGGCAGAGCCGGCCCTGGACCCTGTCCAGGCTTGCTGAGCCAGCTACCTCTTTGTGCTGCACACTATAGACTCTGGTGTCTGCCAGGTTATAAAATGGGGGGTCGGCCCTGAGGCACCCACAGCGCCAGCCTGTTCTCCAATACAGGTAAGAGGGGACTTCCACACTGCCAGAGAGCTGGGGGAAGGTGGAAATAAAGGGAGGGAGGGTGATGAAGAACTGGGCAGACCATGGGAGGAAGCAAAAGCCAGAGGTCTTTCTCATGCTTACTTGTCTAGCCAGCACTCAAGAGGGTGAGGCAGGAGGATTGCTGAGCATTGGAGACTAGCCTGGGCTACAGAGAGAGATCCCCATCTCAAAACAAGGAGAGAAGAAGAGAGGGAGGCAAGCAATGGTAGAAGCATTGGACCAGAGAGGGAGTAGAGGGGGAGGGAAGATGAACACACGCCAGGAAAGAAAACCAGCTTCTGGGGAGTGTTTCCTAGGACAGGGACAGGGTTAAGGGTGGCTGAAACCCTCAGATGTGGCCCAGATATGTGGGTAGCTGAGCAACCAGTCTTCCTGCGGAAGGCCAGAAGGTGTGTGCTCGCCCCAGTCAGAGAGATTGTCGGGAACCTGGCTGAACCCAAGGAGCTTGCTCTGGGCCCCTGTACTCCAGTGGTTTGTAAATTATCAGCAGAACCTTGGGTGAACTTGCCCCAGGGGACAGTGCAGTCAAGCATGACCCCTGCCAAGAAGTCTGTCTTTCTTGAGGGACCAGAGTCCTCTCCACCCAGTGCCCACAAGGCACAGTACTAGTGTAGAGTGCCGGAAGCACACTACTCCCTTCTCTTGTGCCTCCTAGACCCTAGTGCCAGGCTGGTATTTACACATCCACATCTGCCCTCGGAGAATATCAGGGGTGGATGGCTGAGAGACACACACACCCACACACACACACACACACACACACACACACACACACACACACGCACTTGCTCCCAGAGCAGATGTCGGCTGAGCAATTCCCATGTGCCTGGCACAGAGCCACATGCTGAGGACCAGACAGGAGTGTTTACAGGGTTGCATTTAGTAACCCAGGTGCCTGTCCATCTGCTGGCTGAGGAAGGAGCTGACTGACTGCTGTGTGGGCTGCAGGGCACCTTTACTCCAGCTAGATTCTAGGGGGAAGATCCTGACCCCAGCTTGCCCACAGTCAAGGTCAAGGTATGAGACATTCGTTATTGTATTTGATGTAGCACTCCTGAGTGTG